AAGGATCAACATGTGGCCGCTTTTTTGTTATTTCAGGGATTAATTTGTCCATTTTTTGTTGCTAAGAATTGAAAAGGACTTCGTAAATATTGTCAGGAATTAAAAAAGGTATTTATTCAAAATATTATTATCATTATTAGTATATTAGGGGATTTACTATGGGAATGTGCCAAAACTCCTATATGCTCAGTTTGGCAATTTCCTGTACTACTTGTCGGCAAATTTTGAACCTCACGAACTTTTTTGCAATTGATCGCCTCTTTCTTATGTATTACATAGAAGATAAAAACATCTCGCTTTATTAGAGTCAACATTAATTACAAAATTGAATTAACTAAAAAAATATTTGGTACTTAACTGTGTGGATCGTTAAGTTGGACTCGAGCAGTTTAAATACATAAATTAGGCTATATGATTGGGCTCATAAATTCCCTTATAATCCACAAACTATATCTTCTTATATATATATATATATATATATATATATATATATATATATATATATATATATATATATATATCCATCCATCGATCTATCCAATCTATTTATTTATCTTATCTTAGGGCTTTATGTTTGTTATGTTACATGATGTAACATAACAAACCTACCCACACATTTGAGAAGAGAGAGGAGAGAGAAGAAAGGAGAGAGAAAAATCAAGAGATGGGACTCACATAAAATTGTGTGTGTAGGAAAGTTATGTTACATCATGTAACATAACAAACATAAAACCCTTTATCTTATCTATCCATCCATCTATTTATCTATTCAACTACCGTTTGAATTGGTCAAACCCTCCATATTATATTTCTTGCGCTCAGAGTAAAAACATCATTGATAAATTCCTCCAAAATTTTATTCGACCTAACAAATTCACAAGCAAGAAGAAATTGAAGAGAAGTGCTCTCCGTGTTAAAAAATTTATTTTATGGGTAATATTAATTAATTAGTTTTGTATTTTAAAATTAATTGGGTTAATGGATATTCCAAAAATATTATTGTAACTGGCCCATTGTGATCACGTTGAATTGGACTTCTGGCATCTGTTGTTATTGGGCCTAGTTAGGAAGCAGTATAGGCTTTAGTGTGACCCTGGTTTTCCATGATGGTGGACCCAGTGGACACAAATCTTTTGTGGGTTATTAGCTAGGACACATCTCTCCCCTCTCTCCCAGTGTGACCCTGGTTTGCCATCGCTGAAGGCTGCCATTTTCTAAATAGGCGATAGAGAGAAAGACTCTAGCATCTTGTTCCCCTTGTTTCTAACAATTCTTCTCCGACTTTGTGACCCAACAAGGTACACATAATTACAACTCTGATTTATTGTCATTTGGTATTTTATAATCTTGTGCATGATTTATTATTTTAGATTTAACATTTGGTATCAGAACCACGTGTATATGATTATAGAATCCTTTCATTTTGTGAATATTGAATTTTTCATGAATTTATTGTTTGGTTGAACTGAGAATCTTAGGACTTTGGTGCTACCTTAATTAAAAGGTCATTTTTAGATTTTAGATTTCCGCATGTACGTTCTTCTATGCCTTCTTGATCACTATTTGTTGTGTACTCTTGTTTTATTTAAATTTCCCGTGGTCTATATGCCTTATCGGAAATAGTATTATTTTTTGAAGACTGGATATTCAAGTTTAAATAAAACTTGTTATACAGAGTTTAACGTTTGCATATGCTTCTTGAATTGTTGTGGTGGGAAACACGAGAATTAACTCAAAGCAAAAAAAAAAAAAAAAAACATGGTGGAATCTTTTATTTTTCCAGAGCAAGTTAAATACTTGTGCAATATTCAACTTGTCTTGTTTAATTCTATTTCGTGAAAACTGTTAGCAATTAACAGTTTCGATTTTTGTGCCATACCCATAACAACAAGATATTATTCCATGATATTAGTTGCGTGTTATCAGTTACTTAAATTTCATGACTAGTAGCACGTTATTCTTTTAATGTGTTTCGTAAAACGTGGATTGGTATATTGCAACTGCTAGCAATTTTTTTTAAAAAAAGTGTTTCGTAAAACGTGGATTGGTCTATCGCAACTGCTAACAATATATTGCAACGTGGATTGGGTTTGATTTCTTTTTATATTCAAATATAACAAGAAATATATTTTGGCCATGTTACAATATTTTTGGAAAAGATATTTGGGTGTTTTAATTTATTTGTCCTATAAGTTTTTTAAAAGTCACAAAAGATGTTTGAGAGTTATAAAATTGATACACTGTTTTCGTTTCCTATGATGCACGGACACGGACACGGACACGGGACACGGGACACGACACGACACGTTGACACGTTAATTCTAAAAAATGTCATATTTGGACACGTTGGGACACGTTTTGATATTAAATAATATTTTTAATATATATAATATAATTTATATTTAATACATATAACAACTCATAATAACTCATATACTAATCAAATATTCAAATTTCATAACGTAAATATTAAAAAAAATAATAGAACATCCCAAGAGTGTAGAGTGTAGAAAAATTTCGTAATGTAATTTTTTTCAAGGAAGATAAAATAAAAAATTAAAGTATAAGAGTCCTAGAGCAGTACATAAAATGAGAAAAATAAATACAATCAAAACGCAGTCATCCACCTCATCAATCCAAACGCAGTCTCGTCTCGGATATAGACCGTACAAAGAAACCAATCAACCGTCCTAAACGCCTCTTAGAAACCTATTACACGGATCGACGAAGTGACCTTAACTCCCTTCAATACCTTAAATCTTATCCGTACAAAATAAACACAAAACTTGTGTCTTCAACATATACCCAAAAACCAGAGGGAGGTATCCATGGCTGTACATAAGAAGCATGTGCATGGGTCTCCATTTTTCTTCAAGCTCTACACGGCGACCAACGACCGGCGACGACCGACGACGAAGAAGAGAAGACCCGGACCAGCAACCTGCGCGAAAGAGGATCAGACGACGATGGGGTTCAGACATTTTGTTTTTTATTAAATATTTTTTATTTTTTTAATTGTAATTTTATTTTTATTTTAAAAAAAAAACGTGTCCCAAAACGTGTCCATATACATTGACCGCGTGTCGGATTCGGTCAAACTCGCGTGTCCCTCAAGTCAACGTGTCCCAAAAAGTCAACCGCGTGTCGGACGCGTGTCCTAACGTGTCCGTGTCCGACACGTGTCGAACACGCATTTTTTCCAAAAAAAACACGTGTCCGTGTTTCTTAGTTCGTTTCTAGCAATTGCATTATATGAGAAAGATATATTTAAATATATTTTTTACTGTTGTTTATCAAGTTGTTTCTTGAACCGTTTCATAAAATGCATCGTGCCATTATTGTTCCGCATTTTGTTTTATCAATTCCGATTTTACCGTTACACTTTTTTATTGATTGATTCAATTTAGTAGATATACTTCTTGAATCGCATCGTCATATTTGTTTGAAAAAGATATATCTTACTCTTGTCTAATAAATCTATTCAAGTTCCGATTTATATTATTCAAGTAAGAATATGTGGGCACGATTTTTGAAATATTAGTCAGTTCTGATTTATATAATAACAACTATTCAAGTAAGATATATCTAAATATTTTACTGTTTCCTTGTTATATTGTGGGCAAGATTTTCGATTTTCAAGGCACCATTAAATATTTTACATGTTATCAATTATAAACAACAGAAATATTATATCACGATAGAAAATAAAAAATATATCTAGGAATTTTTTTTACCGTTTGTGATAAATCATTAACAAAACTTGATATCTAGTCTCTTAGTCTTTTTTTTTATTAGTATTATTTCTATTTTATTTTTTAGTTGCAAAGCCAAAAAAAAAAAAAAGTAACAAAAAAAAAATATATATATATAGAAGTTACCAGATTCTTTAGTTGTAAGTTGTAACAATAACCCCCTTATGTGTGGGTTTGATCAACCGCCCTCCCTCACCGCCCTTGTCAATAAAGTTGGATGGATTGTTTTCAAATAATTCCACGTGAGCAGCTTTCAGAAAATAAAGGGTTAGGAAAAGAAAAAAACTGAAGGAGAGAAAAGAGAGTTTTTTTAATGGTGCTAGAGATTTCTAAAAAGAAAACCAGAAAATTTCTTTGAGAGAAGTGTCGAACTCGAAAAGGAAAGGATTCAGAAACAAAAGATTAGATTAGAAAGAAAACTTTGACGGTAGTTAATATTTTCGATTCTCATTGGACGCGCCATAAAAGTTTCATGGAGGAGCTAGCAAAGAGGTAAGATTTTAAACCCATGTGCTTATGCATTCAGTCTCTGGGGTTGGTTGTTTGGTACCATGCAATGCAATATTGCTCTATATAAGGTTACATTTGCAGTCTTTTTCCATTCTGGCCAGTTCACTTGGAGATGTTTGTGATACTGTCTTTCATGCTCGACTGTTTTTTTACGCATTTAGTTTGAATTTTATTCTTAAAAGTTCATTTGGGCTGATTAGATTTTATTTATTTGTTTATTTTCATCTTCTGTTTCTTTTTTCTTTTTTTTTTTGGAGTTACCCAACCCTAATTATCTCTTTGAGACGAGTTGGCTCCCTCCGATATCTCCAAGAGCCACTACAACAGAAACGGTTTTTAATGGCGGTTCTTTTAGCATTTGGCGGCAGTTTAAACGGCCACAAAACTTTTTGCAGGCGGTTCTAAAAACCAACGTAGAAATTGGGGACGCTATTCTTTTTGCGTGATTTAAGGTCGATTTTGAAAACCGACGGAATAACCGCCGTAGTATCTTTTTTTAGGTTTAAAAAATAAAACGGCTGTTTTAAACAGCCGTTATGATTTTAGGAATAAAAAATAATATTAGCAGAATCTTCATAACCGGATATATTTTTATAAATAAAAAGGAATTCGTTTTTTAAAATGATTTGGTCAAAAGTAAAGAAGTAAATCTAATATTAATCTCATGAAATTTAAATTTAAAATAAATTAAAAATAATGTGTAATTTCAATCCATTAATTTTTTATTATTTAGCATCATCATCCCCTAAAATGGTATTAAAATAAAAATCCTTTGCTCAAATTGAAAAACAAAACTATATACATGTGTGAAATGAGCATGCACACAGAGGAATTCTTAAACGTGCATAAAAAATTTCTTTATAACAATATTTTTCATGCGATTTCCTCGAAACCTATTTTACCAATCAATTTTAACTTGAAATCTAGTCAACAAGAAGCTTCTTGAAACTCTATATAAAAAAAATAATTACTAAACCTATATAAAAAATCACTTCCTCTAATCGCATAACCTTTCCAGGGGACAAATTAAGAAGCTCTTCAATTTCCTGCGACAACAAAAAAATGCAATCAGTTACCTAAAATACAATTTGTGAAAATGCATGTGGAATAAAAAAATAAAGTAAAAAACACAAATAGCAAGTTGATTTGTTAAACCATGTTTAGTGGCATGGCAACAAAATGTGAGAACAAGGTACATATATGGTATAACAAAAAAAAAAAAAAATTGGCTTAGAATAGATATGTAGGTAGTAGAATACCTCTTCATTGAGCACAAGGCTCTGCACCTTCGTATTATTAGGCCCTTCACTTGATTCCTCATCCAATTCATCATCTCTATATTGTCCAAGTAACTGCAGGGGATTCTGTGGTTGTATACCTGAAGACAAAATGCCAGCATGTCAGAAACTATGAAAATGATGGATTATTAATTATTTAATAGCAATAATATTTGAAAAGAATGCCAGAAAGATTCAAAAACTATAAAAGCGAGTGCTACAATCGAAAAGAAAGACAAAAAAGAAACTTAAGGATGCAAATAGATTCACAAGCATTTTAGCTTGTATCATGAGTCACCTGTTACAGATGGGAAAATGTCAGTAAGCCACTAAGCATATAAAGCCAGAAACATAAGAACTGCTAAAACTTTCTACTGTCTGAACCGCTATCAAATTTCTTATCGAAGGGGCATTTTCCGATTAATAAGGTTATTCGGCCATTGTAGAAAACCTCATGTGACAAAGAAAATATGGATTGGGGATTTGTGGTGAGAGTGAAAGAGTGGCGAATGTGGCCTAACCAAGAATTTTCAAAGTTAGAAGACACACATTATAGAGTAGGCCCAGACTTAATTTTTAGATTTAGGAGATTTAGATAAACCACTCGTAAAAAGAGCCACAAATCCCTTATATCAGATTTAAGGGCTTTTATGTTTAACCGACATAAATTAATCACCATTAAATCCCTCTTTTGTCGTAGTGTTATAACTCTTAAATAAAATCATAAGAAGTTAATAATATTTACATACATCATAAAGTTAAAAAAGGACAACTAAAATAAGTATACTTTAGCTCTAGTATACTTCTCCAAATAAAGAAAGAACTCAACAACCCAACCATTCTCTCCTCATGGAAACCAGACGCTGATTGCTGCCACTCTAGTAGTTGGTACGGTGTGAATTGCTTTCCCCATAATAAACGTGTTGGCTCTCTAACTATCTCATTCGACAATGAACTTAACTCTCAAATTCCACCCTCCATTTAGTAACCTACCTTTATTGGATGAACTATATTTCAACAAATTACCAAACCTCACAGGCCCAATCCCTGAGTCCATATCCAAAATCACAAATCTCAAATACCTCACAATAAGCTCAACCAGCATATCAGAAGTCAGAAATTTTTGTTTGCGCTATAAATTTTACCTAGTTAGGTTCTAATTTTAGAGAGATTGTACTTTGAAACTATTTGTTGCTTACTTGGAAATGAGAAGATTAATGCACGAGACTCCCTGAAAGATATCAGAATTTCGACCACACATTACCATGATTTCCTGATAGATCTATATTTACTACCAAAATAAAACTCTCAAACTAAATAATTAACACATTATTTGGGTCCTACACAAAAGATACCAATACATTCATGAAAAATCCACAATAAAATTTTCATGGATAATTTTACATTTAATTTTTAAATAAGTTAGACAATAGTAAGAGAATAAAAAAAAGAGTTTATACCTCACCAGTGAATTGCACAGTTGTAAATTTATTGTCAATCCCAGATGTACCTTCAAAAACCTGGTCATTCATACTAGAAGGTAAATAAACTTTAACCTACTCTTTGTGATAGCAGCAGCAGATGATAAAACTAAACAGACAAAACCATTTGCTATTGAAGTCAAAACAACTACATAAACAAAGTAGACATCAATGAAGGCTTTTTCTTACCAACTCATAAAGATTGAGAAACAATAGGAGAATCTTATAATATTTTGGTTATAGGTAAAATATAAAATAAAACAAAGACATCATGATCTCAAAGATAAGAGAGAATTGTCTCCTCATGATATATATGTAACTACAGATGATTTGGGAAGTTAGGCAGTAGGAACGCACCTGAACAACAGCTTTTTCACCATCAACTTCTAGAACTTGTCCAGGCCGAGTAGTTCCATCCCCTAAGCGAATATTAACAATCTCTTGATATTTGGGTCCCTGATGCAGTTGATCAGTATAAAATTCAGTCACACCATACAGAAAGAGGGACATCCTCATGGAAGAAAAGTTCAAAACTTTGGAATATGTTATAAGCATACCAGAGAGAGTAGTAACATGGTCATTACTCATTACCTTAACTTTTCAATATTGGCCTCCCTCTGCCAATGATCGTCAAGAGAATCATCATTATCTATTTTAGAGTAATCTAGATGTTCGTGATCTTCCCCTAATAGAAACTTCTGCTGCATAATGTAAGTGAATTGATTCATCCGGTACTCAGAGCTCTTCTGCAGATAAAGTTGATTCCCGACTCTCTCTGGCTAGATCATCAGATAGGGCATCATCATCAACTACATCAGGCTGATTCAAGTGCCTCTGCCAATAGCAAAAAAAACAATCATTGAAGCCCACAAAAAATACGGCAAACATTATAGCACTAAAATATCTCCAAGTCCCAAAAGATGAGGAGGAGCGGATCCAAAAACAACTGACTTAGTTTCGGTGGTCGTCAAACTGTTTAAAACAGACAATTCATGTCAAAGAGATTATAATTAAAAAATCAGAATTTAATCCAAAATATAACCATCAACGAAAAATCACATTGCTTCTCTCGAGTTCTGAAGACAATATAGTGTTTATTGCTGGAACACCATAATCATTGGGAACATATGCCAGTAGTGACCATGTTAGCAATTACAGAAGAAATTACTAGGAAAAAGATTTTACATATTAACATACAATCTTATCATTTCATATAGTGATTGGTCCATGTACGGTACAAGAGTATATAATACACAAGTAAGTGGGTCAAATCAAATGTAGAAGAAAGTTCATAAAGTCAATTCCAAACGGACTAGCCTATCCTGTCATATCGCATCATGGTAGATATAGAGTTTTAGTGGACGATAAGTATCCCCAACAGAGCTTTCATGTTAGAAAGTCAAGAGAGAAATAAAAAAAATTAAAAAATGAGAGAGAACGATATAACTACAGTAATGAAGGATAGAAAACAAAAAAAATAAAATATAATAAAAATAAATCAATTCTAATAGATTTGGGTTTGGCAAAAAAAAAAAGGTGTATTCTCAATGCTCCAATACCTATCCTACAAAAATATTCGTTTCTGAAGATGAGACAGAGAGAATATGTATCTCTTGTTCTACTTGTGACAGAGGAACATTCCATTGAGAGGCAAAACAAAGTATATCTGCACTCCACAAAAATCACATTAGTTTCAGCAATAACGATTGCCATAGAGTTATCAATTCCAGTAGCAACAGACAAAATCAACACAACAAATAAATAAGTACGAAGTAATACCGAAACAAATGCAGAATACAAAACGTGAGAGAGGAAGCCTGGCACACAGCATACAAACATTCACG